CGTGTCTGTGTGTGTCAGCGCGTGTGTCTGTGTGTCAGCGCGTGTGTCTGTGTGTGTCGGCACGTGTGTCTGTGTGTGTGTGAGCGTGTGTGTGTGAGCGTGTGTGTCTGTGTGTGTCAGCGCGTGTGTCTGTGTGTGTGTGTGTTGACGCGTGTGTCTGTGTGTGTGAGCGCGTGTGTCTGTGTGTGTGTTGACGCGTGTGTCTGTGTGTGTGAGCGCGTGTGTCTGTGTGTGTCAGCGCGTGTGTCTGTGTGTGTCGGCACGTGTGTCTGTGTGTGTGTGAGCGTGTGTGTGTGAGCGTGTGTGTCTGTGTGTGTCAGCGCGTGTGTCTGTGTGTGTGTTGACGCGTGTGTCTGTGTGTGTGAGCGCGTGTGTCTGTGTGTGTCAGCGCGTGTGTCTGTGTGTGTGTTGACGCGTGTGTCTGTGTGTGTGAGCGCGTGTGTCTGTGTGTGTCAGCGCGTGTGTCTGTGTGTGTCGGTACGTGTGTCTGTGTGTGTGTGAGCGCGTGTCTGTGTGTGTGTGTGTGAGCGCGTGTGTCTGTGTGTGAGCGCGTGTGTCTGTGTGTGTCGGCACGTGTGTCTGTGTGTGTGTCAGCACGTGTGTCTGTGTGTGTCAGCGTGTGTGTCTGTGTGTGTGAGCACGTGAGTCTGTGTGTGTGAGCACGTGAGTCTGTGTGTGTGAGCACGTGTGTCTGTGTGTGTCGGCACGTGTGTCTGTGTGTGTCAGCGCGTGTGTCTGTGTGTATCAGCGCGTGTGTCTGTGTGTGTCAGCACGTGTGTCTGTGAGCGCGTGTGTCTGTGTGTGTCAGCGCGTGTGTCTGTGTGTCAGCACGTGTGTCTGTGTGTGTCAGCACGTGTGTCTGTGTGTGTCAGCGCGTGTGTCTGTGTGTGTCGGCACGTGTGTCTGTGTGTGTGTTGACGCGTGTGTCTGTGTGTGTGTGAGCGCGTGTGTCTGTGTGTGTTAGCGCATGTGTCTGTGTGTGTCAGCACATGTGTCTGTGTGTGTCAGCGCGTGTGTCTGTGTGTGTGTCAGCGCGTGTGTTTGTGTGTGTCAGCTTGTGTCTGTGTGTGTGTGAGCGCGCGTGCCCGTGTCTCTCTGTGTGTGGAGGAGCGGTGGCGTAGTGGTTAGCGCGCTACGCTGCGCTGCGATCCCGGCGCCCCGAGTTCGATTCCCGCTCACGGCCACCAGCACCCAGTGACGATTATCTGAACCGGTCCGGGGCCTCCCCGAGGTCGACTACCGAGTAGCTCGATGCGGCGTCGAATCATCGCCACGAGGGAGACAAAGGCGGCCTCGTGTGCCACGTCCCGCCCTTCATTGGTGCTCGCTAACGGCACTTTGTTCACAAAACACAAAGGGCTATGGAGGGAGCAGGGGATCTTCGTCTTTGTTCCGTGTGTGTAAGAGCACGCGTGTTGGTTGTGTGTCGTCGTGCACCTAGCCTGGCACGAGCTCCGCGAAGGGATCGTCACCGCCACCGAGCGGTTGTTTGTTGTTGTTGTTGCTGCGGGGAGAGGAGCGGTGGCGCAGTGGTTAGCGCACTGCGCAGCGAACCCCGGCGATGTCATCACCTCTTCTTGTTCCCGTCGCGCGGCTAACATCAGTGGCCTTAAATTAGTTTAAAGTACCTGGTGGCTGGGGGAAGACAAATGCGGCCCTGGCGCGGTGTCGCGAGCAGCACTTTGCCCCAGCAGGTCTCGAAGGCTATACGGGGGATCTTGTTCTTTGTGTGGTGCGCGTGGTCGATGTCTTTGTGCACGCGCGCGTGGTTGTGGGTGGGGGGGAGCGGTGGCGCAGCGGTTAGCGCACTGCCTGCGCTACGAAGCCGGCCACGGCTGACGTCAGTGGCGAGTGGTGATAGCGAGATCCTAGCCAGAGCCTCGCTTAGGTCAACGCAGCATTGGGGGAGACAAAGGCGGACGGGTCCTCCTCCTCCCGGTCTTCGTTGCTCGCTAAAAGCACTTTGCCCCCCAAACAAGTTGGGGGGGGGGGCATCTTAATCTCTGTGTGGTTTTGTGTTTTTGGTGCCGTGCCATGAACCTACCAGCGATCGAGCACTTCGCGTGCACCTAGCCTGGCACAAGTGCATTGGAGGGGACGTCACCCCCACCTCGCTCCGCTCTCTCAGTGGCGGCTGTTGTTGTCTGGGTGCGTGCGGGGAGCGGTGGCGCAGTGGTTAGCGCGCTGCGAACCCGGCGACCCGAGTTCGATTCCCGCTCACGGCCAACACCCAGTGACGATTACCTTGAACCGGTTCTGGGCCGCCCCTAGGTCGACTCAGCCTCAAATGAGTACCCGGTGGGGTGTGTTAGTCACCGCTGGGGAGACAAAGGCGGCCGGGCGTGGTGTCGGCCACCCACCCCCTCGTGTGCCGTGCCGGTCCTCATAGGTGCTACTCGCGGACAGCACTTGTCCCAACAGTCTGTTTAGGCTATACGGGGGATCTTTGTATTTGTCGTCTAAAAGGCAAAACTGTGGATTCATATTCTTGAGGTCTTTCGTTAAAGTCACGTCGAAAGGTTCAAAGAAAATAACAAAAAAACTACGACGTTTCGATCGTCGTAGTTTTTTGTTATTTTTGTTATTTTCTTTGAACCTATCAACGTAATTTTACCGAAAGACCCAAGAATATGAATTCCTGCAGTCACGAAAGCTTTAAGTAAAAAAAAACTGGGGATCTTTGCCTTTCTTGTACGTGTGAGCACACGTGTCTTAGTGTGTTTGTCCTTGAGTGCTTTACGTCTTCTTTTGTGCACGAGTGTGTTGTGCGTGACCCTAGGTCGACTCAGCCTTAAAATGTGTACCTGTTCCGGTGTGTAAACACATCACACACCGGGGAGACAAACGCCACAGCCACACTTCTCTCCCCCTTCATAATGCCCTGGCAGCCTACCATAGATGCTCGCTAACAGCACTTGCCCCCAAAATTCTGCGAAGGCTATACGGGGGATCTTTGTCTGTGCGTCGTGGCTGCCTTGAAATGTGTTCGCTCGCAGCACTTAAGTCTGTAAGATGAATAAACTCAACACATTGGTCCATAACACTGCCGACGTTTCGGGCCGTGGCCCTTCGTAACACCGACGAAGGGCCATCGAGTCTGTTATCTTTATCAGAATGTGTTATTTAGACTGGAGGGATCCGATGAGCTATGAAGCTCTTCATGTCCAGACATCCATTGCCATAAATGTCCCCTATGACATTGCGCGTTCTCTTTTACGGCCACACCACGGCGATCTTGACGAATGTGTTGATTTTGTTTGTGAGCTCTCCTCCTGCAACCACGCGGCAAGCAGTTAGCTCCAGCGGCACCGTATTACAGGCAGACCTCGCTTAACGCTCAACATGCGGGCAGGGAGGGATGGGAAGGGGGGCGCGCAAAGCGAGGTGTGCCTGTAGTCTGTAATACTAAGTGGTGGTGAGCTCTTGAACAGATACACGTGTCCACGTTGCTTCTTACACGTGCTAAGTTACCACCAAAGCTATATTGGGGATCACTTGCAATTAGCGTCACGCCGCAGCGATGTCGCTCGACATGAAATTATCAGTCGTCTGGGCGTCGCTCGTCTTCTAATTGGCACTATTTTGTGCACTTAAAAGTTGCGCACGTTTCGTTAAATGGTTCACGCGCGTGGTGGTGGTGGATGTCCCGCGTGGGGGGTGAACAACAATCCGGGGGGGGGGGCGGGGGGAGAGCGACTCCACGCTCCTACGCGTCTCGTGTCGGAGGGCGTCGCTATAGGGGGTAAGTCCTCGTTTAACGCGACGGTGGTGGTGTAGTAGTAGTAGAAGATGCGTTCCTAAAAAAAAATTCGCGTTAAGCGAAAAACGCATTGAGCAAAAAAACAACCAACCCCCCCTCCCCAACCCCCACGCCACCCCCCGTAAATAACGTAACGATGAAGTTTGGCGAGATGACGATGTATTACTACGCACACGCAGTGAGATGGCACAAATAACCGAGGGTGCACCGCCACCGCGTTGCTGTTTCAGCCTGCGTACTGTATCACGGAACCGCTCAGACGTGCAGCTCCAAAAAGTTGTAATGGTGCCCATTTTTCATTATATTGGGGCGCGTTCCGCGTTATAACGGGGCCCATTTCACGTTATAATGGGGCGCGTTCCACGTTGTAATGGTGCACGTTATAATGGGGCCCGTTTTGCGTTATAACGGTGCGCGTTACACCTCATGTGAAGTGTTCCCAAATGGAAGACCCGCGTGATCGCGAAAACGCGTTGTAGTGTGAACACCACGCGTTAAGGGAGGGCTTGTCGTGTAATCCTTAACAGCGAGTGTGCGAACAGAAGTACGAGTTGAGAGATGATAATGTAAAACCTTTTGTCAATCCACTGCTGGATAAAGGCCTCCCTACGCAATGGTTCACGAGGATCATCAGATCGTTTGACCACATTTCAGCACGCTGGTTCAGTGTCATTTGGTAAAACTATAAACTTTTATTTTACCAGGTAAGGCCCACTGAGCTATGTAGCTCTTTTTAGAAACGGCCTGGCTGCTAGTGATAGCTCAACGAAGTGGCTTATCATGTAGAAATGCATAGCAGCCAAATACCCTAAACGCATATTTCTAAACGTGGAGGGAAAATCCGTAGGACCCGGAGAAAAATCCACGTGACCACGGGAAGAGAGACACGTCAACTCCGAAGAAACCGCAGTCGTCAGGTTCGGGATCGAGCCCACGACCTCCTGTATACCAGGCGAGGTAGTTAACATCTCCTAGCCACCGTGGCGCCGTAGTGGTCGGGAAAGCCCAGGATCGGTTGAGAAATCACTCGCCACTGATGCTAGCCGTGGCCAGGAGTCGAATTCGAGTTCACGGTGCTGTGTTGCTAACCACTGCACCACCTCACACAGTTGTTTATATGTCAATAGCCTCACGTGCGCATGGCTTCAGTCACGATGAACAATCGTCAGCAGTAGCAATGTCACCATCCCACGTGATGTCATGACACTGGCGGATATAAAAAAACAAAACGATGCACCTGTAAGAGTATTTTTTTTTAATTGAACAGTTTATTACAACAAATTATATAAATAACGCAATGATTTAAAATAATTACTCATAGCAAATGCATAGATTGACCGGTATATGTTTTCTTATTTTTTTTTTGGAATCTTAACTTACAATAGCAACATCTACAATTAAAACTGACATTCTTCCAAACGTCACCCCATCGAAAGCGTCACATTGCAACAATTCCACACGTTTGAACTACAGGGCCGCAGGGTACATTTTTGGGGAAACGTGGCGGTGGCGACGACGCTTTGGATGCCTGCAACACACATTTCAACTGTTTGCCTGCGACCAAAGCGTTGCACATCAACCGCGCACCACGTAGTACCCCGCTGGGTCGCACGCGCGCGCGCTTCCACAAAATCGCCCGACCGCTGATTCGTCGCGAGCTGTTTCACCAACGCGGTAGTTGCAAGCGACGAGTCGCCGACAAACGAGTCGCTGCAACGAGTCGCCCGGGGAACAAGAGCTGGGTGCGATTTTCCCGGTCGCGAACTGTTGCCGGTGTCGAGGCTGCCGATTTGAAACTCGAGTCGCTGTCGGGAGCGCCGTCAGGGCTCAGGGTGAAGTTACGTTTCAGTCTTACGACAGTCGAAATTGCCGTTTCGCTACCGGAAGGAATCCATTCGGAAATCTCACCGAGCTATGTGAACACCACCACCACCACCACCCCACACACCGTGTGTCCGATAACGGCCACGCAAGAGATGTTTACAGAACTTCTTCTGAAATACCCTTTCAAGTGGCATCTTTTAAACCTGTAAGCAACATGGGGCGGAGCTTTCTCGCACACACTTTGCCAGGACATTGGTGTTTGTCGCGTGACGGGCAAAAACAAGATTTTAAAATTAAGTGAAACCGCACAAATGTAACGTGATATTTTTTCGCAGTCATTTGGAGACTGGGCCGAGACCATCTCGCTACACGTGAGGACCACGTTTGAACGAAAAGCGGTCTAAGTCTAGATACTTAATTCAGTATATCAGTGGTGGCAGCTCCGCTCTCTGACCTCTGACCCAGAGTTCTATTCGGTTTGAGTTTAATTTTCTACATAGTCGCAAGAGCGTGTGACCCAGCTTCATGCAGAACTCCTCCTATCTGTGGTGATGTGGGGGACAAACATAGCAAATCTAATGTCGTTATCCGCTTGGTTATCTGGGAAGTTACTCCACCTATCTGTCGGGCAAAATTGCGAATAATCTCAAAATAATGGCGACTACTTTGCCGATTGGCTATCTGCGGAAACATTCGAGCGTAAGAATCATGGTGGAATTTCCCGATGAAGACCCGCGGATCATAGGAGTCGTAGGTAGTAGGGTCCAACGGATAAGGGAGGTTTTCTTCAACGAGAGATTTGTGGCCATAACAAAAATTAAAGTGGCCCACATTTTCAACGATCGCCCGCGGACCACGGCGAAGGTTAGGGACCGCACGAGAACGCCAAAAAACTTTGCTCGTAATGATTTCTTTTGTACGATCGATAAAAGTGGTTAAAAAAATAACCAATTCATTCGGAAAGGTTGTGTCACAAATCGCTTTTATTGAGCAAATAAAGAAATTGGTGCCGCCCAAGTGTCGTCGCCCTTGGGGCGGTCATGACAAAGTGAAACGTCCGGTCTCGGCCCGTGAACCGTGGATGGTTCTTGGTTGTTGCTGTTGTTGTTTTGCGAAAGGAAAGTTAAGTTGGAGGCACAGCCAGGAATTGTAAGGTGTTCACATTGGTGTCTGGGAACTATTGCTCTTTCAGGTTTGTAACGTTTTATACACGTGAAAGAGAAAATGCCGCAGAATTGGAAAACAAGAGTCGAAAATGGATGCTTCAAGTCATCGATGGACATCGATTCTGCAGCTCCCGATGCACCCAATTGAAAAGGCGACGTTTGTCGATCGCGACGCACGTAATGGGGGTCACGTGACTCTCCCCGCCGTGCCTCGCACGGTCGCTCGTAGCCGCCAGGTTCACCCGGACGTTGAGACGATGATCGATTCTCGAATCGAATCGCGACCCCCGACTGACGACAGATCATTGTATTGTCTTGACGAGTTGATCGTTACGGTCAACCAGTTGAGCCAACCATGAGATTATTACGAGAACACTGGTTGGAGAATCTTGATGGCTTTTTCACTGTAAACTATATTCCCGGATACCGAATCCGAGTCGACTGATTTTAAAGTCAACGTGAAACCTCCAATTAATATTGTGCACGCATTTGGGATACATTTGACAAGTGATTGTTCAAGATGCACCCCCCTCCCCTATACTGGAAATCTGTGAAAAAGCACTTCATAGCTCAAGGGATTCCTCCAGTATAAATAAATGATTCTGACTCCTGGCTGTGCCCCCGAATAACAAGACAGCCTTTAAAGCAACAGCCCCCCCTCCCCCAACCGAATTTCGAAGCAGTGTAGATCCAGGGTTTAATGTTTTTGCGTCCGAGCTAGCGACGCAAAACACATGTTTGCACTCCGGCACACCACATCCAGTACACACCATCCTGCGATGGCCCGTGGACACTGGTCGCGCGCCAACCTACTCAAGTCTCCATGGTCGACTCGGGGATAAATACTCCGTGAGAAATCAAGTCCCGTGTGGAACCCACTCCGATGGGACGACCACCAAGGGCAGTTGATAAGCCATGGGGGGGGGGGGGCTGAATGCAGACAATGCTTTTTCGGCTTTCTCGTCAATCCGGCAACGCTGCGCTTGTAGTACGAGGACTCGAGCGTTTTCCCGTAACTTCCCTCCTCCGAACGCGCGCGAACCAGCGTCGTAACCCCCTCTCGTCTTTACTCGGAAGCGAAGAAAGATCCATCGCAAACCGAACTCGCGACGCTGCTACGGCGCTGTAACAGGTTCTGCGTTATAGCCTGCAGGGATTGCGACAAGAACGTTGAACAGACTGGGGACTTGGGGAGGGGAACTCGATGACGGGAGTTCGGGCAAAAGACGAGGGGGGAGGAAAAACAACAAGAAAAAATCGAACGTGTTCTTAATTTCAAACACAACAGTGCGCGGCGCGATCCTGTTTTCAGAGACATCGAACTGATCGTTTTCAATAAATTACCAATAAGTTACACGGGCACAGACAAAACGTGGGGGGGGGGGGTCGGGGGGGGGGCCACAGCGCTCGACGAGACGCCACAAACACGAGGGAGGGAGGTTTGAGCGATACTCAGAGTTTAATTTCAGCCAGGTCCATCTGGGTCGGTGTGCCCTAAACAGTTTTTTCCCCAAGCAAACCCGGCACACCGCATCCAGTATACCTTTTTATTCAGATTCCCTCGCTGTGGGGTTCGCGGCTACTAGTAGTCACGTGCCATCTCCTGGAATACAGTGATCCGGGGAATATATTCGGTGAGAACTTAAGCCCCTAAGCGATGTAACGATTCGCCTGCCGAATTGTTACATTTGACAAAGGGGGGGGGGGAGGGGGGCGGGGAAGCAATCCACTTTCTTAACGCAGCTCTTTCAAATTGTCCTTCCCAGATTTAATGCCCCCCCCCCCTCTCCCCCCACGTAGCACAAAGTGACCGAACATGTGCACGGCTGACGAGTGTTGCGGCCTCGGCTTTCTCTTGCAAACACTGAACGACAGAACGTCGGGCGGTGGCGACGTCGTCACATGGAAGGTGCGAGCTATGCGAGCAAGGCCATCGCGTCTCCGTGAACTCGGCGGCGTTCCCTGGAGATGAGCGCAACGCAATTTGGATTCATCTCCGTGATGCTGCACAGGAAGAGTGGGGCTGTTGTATTTTCTGACTAGAGGCAGTCCTCAGTAATAGGCAGAGGAGAATAGGAAGACTTTTTTTTGTTTAGCCTGGACTTGAACAGCGGCAGGGGGGAGTCGACAGCACGGATGGCTGGGGGGGGGGGGGGGAAGGAGTTCCAGCCGCAGGGTGCAGCAGATGAGAAGAGGTGACCTCTCGCTGAGCAAAGGGGAATCGACACAAAATTATTTTTCTGGAGAGAAGAGTGCATGGAGTAGAGTGAAATAAAAGGGGAGAGGTAGGAGAGTGTGTGGAGGGGAGTAGAGATGAGGGGGGGGAGGTAGGAGAGTGCGTGGAGGGGAGTGGAGTGAGATGAGAGGGGAGAGGTATGAGAGTGCGTGGAGGGGAGTAGAGTGAGATGAGAGGGGATAATAGGCAGGGGTGAGTCCATGGAGGATCTTAAAGGGAGTGAGTGTGATTTTGAAAGTAATCCGTGATTGGATTGGGAGCTAGGGGCAGGATCAGATCACTGGGACGATGCATTACATTGCAATGCAAATTGCCTGTGCAGATGCACAATGTATTCAGCGTGCGCTGAGGCAAGTTTGCCATCGGAGGGCTTCATCCGCAGAGTTCACGACTTCACGATGACTCTTCCTTCGTGTGGGCCGCACCACAGACACATAAATACAATATCTCTCTTAAAATAAAGCATGCATTCCAAATATAAAAGTCATCTTTAGAATATTTTTTTAGAAAAAGTATAGAATTCCTGTGCAAATTTTGTATAAAATGTACAATTAATTTCACACCAGCAATCATACCCACGAGCCTGCAATCGACTTTCAATTCTTACACGCCTCGCTCTTTCACGTGGACTAAATTATACACATTTAAAATAATAATCATCATAAGATCGACACGTTCGCCCCGAGAATAAAAAAAAAACCCATCAGAGTTCATTACTCTTCTTGGGCTCACATGTACGTAATGTCTTAATGCTAACACACACCACAAGGTTTTGCTTATTGATAAAGATGTTAAAGGGGCGGGGGGAAATCATCTTCAGAAAACATTGAATCAGAGACACTGCAAAAAGGTTATGGCAAACGTACGACTCAGTGCTGCTAACTGCACGTCACAAACAACAAGTTTCAAAAAACTACAGAACGACACGATAGTTCGATAAAAATGGAAGTACTGTTTTCCGTGCATTTAAGCAAAAGTTGTCATTTTCTATTTTCCCACCCCCCCGCGTGGGGGGAGGGAGACGGACTCACGTTTGAACGTCCGAAGTTTACAAAAAGTAGACTTTTTTTTTGGGATAAAACATCTGTTTTGCTCGACAGTCTTGTCCTGTTTCGAGAAGCCAGTCTATTGCAGTTCATCTTGCTGTTAGGCACATCGGAAAATACGGATAACGCAACGTCCTGTGGAAATACCTGCAATGGAAAACCGTTATTTATTTCAGAATTATCTTTGCTTGATGTCGAAGTTTGTGCTTGATTTCAATAAATACTATAAATATAAAAAGAAAAATCCATTTCCAACATTCATGACCGAGTTGGCCAAGGCACAAAATCGGCCTTAATTTAAAAAAACGGGAGGAGTGAGGCAGTTCAGTTTAGTGTCATGTAAAGCGTGCATCCGCACGGCGCAGTCAAAACACAAAATAACGTTTAATAAAACTTCAGGGGTGGTGCCGGGGCTTTCCGTCGTTATCATGACCCCACCAGAACCTCCATGATTTGATCGAGTTCGCTGAAGTCCGAGCTTCTGAGCGGCTGCGCGCCACCGCTGCCACCAACGCTGCCACCAACGGCGCTGCCGCCGCAGGGCGACAAGTTCCTGAGCAGGTCTTCCGACAGCGAGCCCGGCGGCACCTTCCCGGGCGCCACCAGGAGGGACACGGAGAGGCCCGGCGGCCACGGGTCGGCCGCGTCCGAGTCGTCGTACATCGACGTGTCGATGTCCGCAAAGTGATCGTCGAGCTCCACCTCCAGGTCGGCGAGCAGGCGCGCCGTGGGGCCCACCGCGATCTCCAGCCCGCTGAACACCGAGTCCAGCTCGTGCCAGTCGCACCCGGCCGTCGCCGGCCAGCCCCGCGGGACGCCGCCGTTGCCGCCTACGCAGACGCCCGCCGCCGCCGCCGCCGCCGCCGCCGCCGTCAGCCCCACGCCGACGGGACCTCCTCCGCCGCTCATCCCCGAGCCGTCGCCGAACACGAGGTCCTTCAGCGCCGACGTGAGCGCGCACGAGATGCTCTCGAGGCCGCCCTGCAGCAGCCGCTGCTCGACGGCGCCGAGCTTGGCGAGCCGCTCGGAGTCCGGGCCGCCCTCCGACCCGCCGTAGTCGTAGCAGACGGCGCAGCCCGGGGCGGGCGCCGGCTCGCGGTCGACGTCCCCGGGGCACGCGAACGCCGCGGCCACGGCCGCCGCCGCGGCCGCGGCCGCCGCGGCGGCAGCGGCGCGTTCCTCCTCGCCGCACATCTCGGTCTGGATGCGCCGCACGGTGTTGGCGACGAGGACGGAGCGGCGCAGGCTGGGGTCGCGGAGGGCCTGCCCGGCGTGCATCTTGCGGAGCGACGCGTCGAGCACGCGCTGCCGGCGCTGCGCGTAGCCGGGGCCGCCGCGGCGGCTGCCGTCGACGACGCCGCCGGCGGCGCCGCCGCCGGCGCCGCCGCCCGGGCACAGCCGCTCGGTGGCGGCGTCGCCGTCTTCGCCTCCGGCAACGCCCGGGAAGCCGTCCTCGTCGGCGCTCAGCTTCCGCTTCACTCCTTTACCCATGGTGTCTTGCTGCAGGCCGCCGCAGCTGCAACGGAAACAGATTCGTGTTGGTTGGCCATTGTTTGCGTGTACGTGCGTGCGCGTGTTTTTATCGTATACCGTTCAGGCCTTCATAGATGCTTGCTAAGAGCACTTTCCCCAACAGCCTGTATAGGCTATCTTTGTCTTTTGTTTCATTGAGATTGGCATATCAGCGTCGTTTCGCGGGACGGAGGATATATTCAAAGACGTCATAGAGCATCGCATCCTCCGTGTTAGATAACCGACCAGAGACTCCTCCAGGTTACGTTTATTAGGGTGCAGACTTGGGGAGTTGGACTTTCGCGCACGGCGGAAATGTTTTATCGCACGACGGACAAACCGATTATGTTTTTGGAATGCTCCGAGCTGGAATTTAACCCAATTAAGTGCACAACCACATTTCACGGTTATATTTTATATGTGTGCGTGTGTGCAGCCATCGGTGATTTGGTCGAGGCGATCAACTCGCCGCGCTTGAGAGAACCCGGTTTTAATAACCAAGGCCACCGAACACAAATTCGAACCCCCGGGGTTTTCAGCCGTGCTGGCTCCGAGTCCCACTCCGTCCTCCTGAGCAAACCCAGCAACCCCCACCCCTCGCACATCGTGGCTTTTTGACGATTGAAATAAAAGCGACTCGCGTGTGCGCCAGCCGCGCCAGCCACGCCAGCCACGCCGCCGCTTGGCACGCGGTGCCGTGCACACCACGTGGCATCACGAGGGCGAGCCACCTCGTAAACGCCCCGTAATGCATCTTAATAAACCCGCCTCGTACGCACGAAACAAAATTCAATAAATCAAGCCCGGCTCCCTCCCCACCCACCCACCCCCGTAAACACGCCTGGTGTCGGTGGCTTATTGCACGCGTCCACCTCTCCCATCGATAGCGGGGAGGAGGAGGAGGAGGGAGAGAAAAGAAAAAAAAATATTGAAATAAATCGCTAAAGCTGTTTATGCAACGTGTCGAGCAGGCGGGGCCGAAAGGCACTGGCGAGTGCAGGGCGGAGGAGGAGGCGGAGGAGGAGAAGAGCGTGTTGCATCGCAGCCAACTGGCCCGTCCTGAGGCCCGCCCCGCTGAGGCTTTGTCAAACGACAACCCTCGCTGTGTCTCAAGCTACGGTGCGAGCGCGGCCAAACCCAGGGGGGGACCGGCGCACACAGATTAATGGCGATCTCGCTTCGAAAAAGACGCGGCGGCGGCGGCGACGGACAGAGAGAGCGCCTCCGGTTAGCACGGTTGGCTACGTACGGTGCGAAAGAAGTTCAACATACATACAACATACAGAAGCGGACAGAGAGAGCACTGCAAGGAGATACCCGGTGAAGGAAACTGGGCGTGCCCGAACGGCCCACAAGGTCGAGGCACGAGGAGACGAGGCATTCGTCCGCCCACTTCCCCAGCGATTCTATGAATCGTCACGATCCAAGGTCGCAATCCCATTTTTTTCCTTTTGTGTTTTTCGTATCGAGTTTTGTGTTCGCTCTACGAGCCTCAACGAAACGTCGGCAGATGCGCTCATTTCTGCGGACGTATTTGCACGAATGGTGACCACCCCCCCCACCCCCCCCCCCCCGTGATCGATTGATGTTCGCGCGCGCCGCACGCCATCGTTAACACGGCCCGCCGAATAGCGCGTTGGGGGTTTAACTTGAACGTATACAGCGCGGGCAGCAGCAGCCGCCGTCACATGCAATTCCATTCATTCCTCCCGACTGAGCGAACGTCTGTCATTGCCGCCACCTCGCCCGACGCGCGCCGTCTCGTACGTGCCGCAGCCTCCGCGGAGTCGGCGACATCGCGTTGGCTGCGCCGGCGTCGAGAGCCGCGCTCATAACAGGCCGACGTTCTGGGCAATGTTTATTATTTTTTTTGCAGAGCACATTGCTGGCATGACAATGTTGTTGTTTGTTGTTTGCGTAGCTTTCCGATCGCGACGCAGGCGCCCGGGCGTATCGCCCCACTTCAGAGGAGATTCGTGGGTTCGGTTCGTGGACGAGCTCCCGGCGCGCGGAGCGAAACGTCGGACGTCGTGCCGAACAATGCACGGCACGTTCCGAAAAAACGCAGCCGTTAAAGCTAAGCAAGTCGCCCGCTGTACTGCGAGATCTCCAACAACTCGTCGGTGTATGCTGGCCAATCCAGCCCTGGATATGACACACACACCGATCTTAACATTTCCCTTCTTCAGGGCACGAGCATAGGACGTACGGCGCGGTGCCGAGATGTTGCATGGCTCGCCTGGTATGCAGGAGGTCATGGGTTCAATCCCAACCCTGACGCCTGTGTGGGTGTCTCTCTCACCGTGGTAGCGTGTTTTTTTTTTTTTTCCGGGTCCTCAAGTTTTTCCCTCCACATTTAGAAATGTGCGTTCAGAGTATTTGGCTGCTGCTATAAATTTCCACGTGATAAGCCACTTCGTTGACCTATCATTTTGTGGCCAGGTCGCTTCTGAAAAATGGGCTATATAGTTAAGTGGGCCAACCTGGTAAAATAGTTTAGTTTTTTTTAGTATGTACGTTGAACTTCTTTAGCACCTACATACCGTGCTAATTAATCAGAGGTGCGGGATGAGAGAGAAAAAGCAGGAGGGACGCAAGTATCGGGATCGCGACTTATCATCGAAGGCGGTGCTTTGCAACACGGTGGAGCGTTGCGATCACTGCGGAGTGAGGAGCTAGGGCCGATGGGCAGCGCGGGGGGTGAGGGGGGGAGGGTTCGCCCGCGCTCCAGAAAACGATGGGCCCCGTGATCGATGGCCGTGCCGCGGGGGTTGCTGCAGCGATCGTGGCGGACGGCGTTATTACCAGCGAGCGTGCGGTTGACGCTACTGTATCGGGTTTATGGGTTGGCCGAGTTTTTCATTTGGACGTTAACCCCCTAATGTGTAATACGCCCCCCCTCCAACCCACCGCTCCCCCCCAACCACCCAGCTCCTTGCCTCCCTCCCGATCCCAAGATTCAGTGCGCACCGCAAGGCGCGGTTGTTTTAACGCTTTCCCGTTAAAACAATTTCTCACAAAAAACGAGACGGACGTTAGCGATCCACGAACCGCGCACCTTGCGCTCCCCATCGCAGCAGCAGCAGCAAGAGCAGCAAGAGCAGCAGCAAGAGCAGCAGGAGCAGCAGCAGGACCGAAAAAAAAACCCAGCCCCTGGCGCGCGGCGAAATGCGCAACGGGCGATGCACCTCCTCCTCCTCCTCCTCCCCGTGACGGATGCGCGCGCGCAGAACGGAGTTGCAGCCCACGTTGAGTAGTGGGCTATCGACTCACGGGGATGGGGGTAGGTGGGGGGGGGGGGCAAGCCGGGCAGATTGGCCCAAGTCATATTTCAGGAATTCATTACTCAGGACGACGGGTTTCACACCGTTTGCGATATTACACGCGTGAGCCGTGCCCGTTAGCGAAGAGCCTCTCTCTCAGCAGGTACTCCCCCCCCCACTCCTCCCTTCTGTGCAAAATAACAACAAATACCCCGGCATTGCCTCTCCAGAGAAATGAATGAAGTGCGTTAATTAAATACGGTAGGGAAAATGCTTGTGCGTCTTTTAAAATATATACATTTCTGTGACGCGACAGAAATGCAAGAGGCAGTGGTGGAATAATCTGCTCCATGCTCAACAACCGATGATGCGGGGCGGTGGCGCAATACAACCAAATCAACAAAAAATGAAATCAGTAAAAGAGTGAAATCAGCAAAATGTTTAAAAAGATAGATGTTTGTCAAACGAAACACAAATTGTGACGAGCTATTTGTTTTTTTTGGCCAAGTTAAAAGATAACAAAACATAAATTGCATTCATCGGCCAATATCAATCCACTGCTGGATGAAGGCCTCCCCAAGCCTCTTTGTGTGGGTGTGTGGGTGTGCAAGTTACATCGCCGTCTCTAGGGGTCCGACGATGCAACCATCCACTCGGCACGCATATCAGCACGAGCTGATACCATCATCATCACTCCCCCTCTGAGGTTCAAAACAAATTTCACAAAAACACGACGCAGACTGCAGGTTGCACAAAAACAGCACAGCTTTCAGTCGCCACTGGATGATGGGACCCACACGCAATAAATAACTCATTGCACACACAAAGATACCCCGTGTAGACTGAACAGGCTGTTTGTGGGCATGTGCTGTTAATAAGCCCCTAACAATGGCTGGATTCAACACCAAAAAGGGGTGTTGCATCCAGCACCACTCCGGGCCGCCTTTGTCTCCCCCCCCAGTACCATCGCACCAAGTACTAATTTAAGGCTGCTCGGACAAAGACACACAGACTGCACAAAGACAAAGACCGCCCGTTATAGCCTTAACAGACTGTTGGCTCAAGTGCTGTTCGCAAACGCCTATGAATGTCGTCACGACACACAAGGGTCACCAAGCACCACGCCCGGCCGCCTTTGTCTCCCCAGTGGTGTTGGCCGTAAGCGGGAATCGAACTCGAGTCGCCGGGTTCGTAGCGCAGCGCGCTGGCCACTGCGCTGCCGCTCCCCACAGATAAATATCCCCTGTATAGCCTTAACAGGCTCTAGGGGCAAGTGCTGTTAGCGAGCACATACACACACACATAGGCACTGCTGCACCAACCCAACCCCCACTGGTCATCGATTGCCTTTAAAGCAGGGCTTGCGTTTTAAAATAAATATCGGGCGCTAATTTCTCAATCCCACTGGCGCATTTTGTGATGAATCAGTGCCGTATACACGATTACGTAAAGCGTTGTTTTAATTGAGGATGATGAAGGGATGATGATCGATGGGCCGTCATCCAGCAGTGGATTGCTCATGGCTGTTGATGGGTGTTTGCGGCGCGGGTTAGCACTGCGGTCGTGGTGCTTTTTTGACGCCTCCCCGCACCCAGCGGCCACCCTCTCACGGTCCCACGATGGAGCCGATCCACCGAGCCGATTTCATCACTCCATCTCCGTGGTGCGCGTCCTTTGGCCGCCACTCACGCCCGTCGTTAGTGTCGACCGCCATCCACTCCGATAGCGGCGTGCCCTACCC